CGTGGTTGCAGCATCCTCTGCTCACAAGGAGGGATGTGCTGGTGGTGGCAGATGCTGGCTCATGGCACTGGCTCATGGCACTCGGCATGCACCAAAACAGGGGCTGCTCCTGAGAAATGGCCAGAGCCAAGGAGCTGAACCAGCATCACCCAGAGGGGCAGAGGCCAATAACCAGGTTGTGGGGACAGCCCTGGGGCAAGGTGCTTCTGAGCGGAGCTGAGGAGGAATTTGTTACACCCCGTCCTTGTTCTTGGGCCAAGTCTGTGCTTTTATGCAAGAGAACCACAACCCCCTCCCGTGTCTCATGATAAATCCTTTCCTGAGAGCTGGGGCAGGATTTTCCCACTGCCCTGGTCCAGGCATGAGGCAGCCCCATCCCACAGCCCCAGGGCAAAGGTACCTGTGGGCAGCAGCAGTGATGCGACCAGAGACGAGTGCCAGTGGCCCCAGGGTGGGTGTGAGGCCTGTCCCTTGCTGGGCACAGGAGGGTGCTGCCAGGGGAGCTGTGAGCAGGGATAAGGCGCTTGGCAGCCTGAGCGGGTTGAACCTGGCGTGAGCTGAATTCCAGTCTCCCGGTGCCATTTCCCAGCAGTTTTCTGGACCCCACCCAGCTCCCCTGCTCCCGTTGTGCCGGTTCCACCGCCCGGCTGCGGACAGGCTCCGGTGGGTGTCGTGGGAGGGAAACCAGAGGGGTCTGCGCTTCCCAGCATGGTGCATCGCGTGCGCGGGTTGCTGGGCGAGCGCACGGGTCCGGATGTCAGTGCCTGAGGCTGTGATTCCCACAGGGCTCACACGCGAGGGATGCGCTTCCCGTGGTCCCCGCCTGTCCTCTCAGCGCCGTCACACTGGTGTTTTCCAGCAGTCCCTCAGGATGGGGCAGAGCTGGGGTTCAGCCCTGCCTGCCTCGGAGCACACTGCCCTTACCATCCACCCTTGGAGCTCGACCCCTTGGCGTTACCTTTCACCCTTCCTGTTTTCCCAAAGGAAAACCAGTTCCAAAGCATTGCTCCTTTCTTCGGGGGTTCATTTCTTATGGCCACCCCGCAGCTCCCCAGGAGCTTGATGATGGCTGAGACCTGAGTTTGCTCTGTTAGAACAGGAGCTTGGAGGTAAGGAAGCTGCTTTGGGACACCTGTGCCTGCAGCTGCTTCCAGCCCCCTGGTGAAGCCAAGGATGTTGCTTCATGTTGTGGCTGTTCAGCCTCTTGCCCCAAGGGCTCCCTCTGTTTACCTGCTGGAACCCGGTGTCCCGGTCACCCCCGGGAGGGCAGATCCAGGCACGATGGTGTTTCCTCTGCGCCGGGGCCAAGCCTTCATCCTGCACTTTGAAGCGCCCGTGGCTGTTTGCGGCTGAGCCCCGTGCCAGGAGCTGTCATCACGGGAAGGGGCCCGTGGCAGCTCCACTGGCACCAGAGCCGATGGGGGCCCTGACGGGGGGTTCATGTCCTGTTCGTGGTTGTTCCTGTGCCACCCATCACCTGTGCCAGTCTCCTCACCCGGGTGAGGGCAGGGCCACGGCTCTGGCTGGGAGCGTGGCTGCCCCAGTGCCTCTTGTCCAGCCCATTTCTTCCTTCCCCTTCCCTCCATGTCACTGTGGTTGATCTCTGTCTCTCCTGCCCCCACAGTCTGGAGGGCAGGGCTTGATGGGAACTTGGCAGTGAGGAGGAGGATGAAGAGGAAGCAGAAGACAGTGGTCTTCCAGTAAAGAGAGCTTACAAGAGGCCTGGAGAGGGGTTTTGGACAACAGCAGGTAAGGACAGGCCAAGGGGAATGGCTTTAACCTGCCTGAGGGGAGACTGAGCTGAGCTCTGAGGCAGAAGCTCTTCCCTGTGAGGGTGCTGAGGCGCTGGCACAGGGTGCCCAGAGAAGCTGTGGCTGCCCCATCCCTGGCAGTGCTCAAGGCCAGGTTGGACACAGGGGCTTGGAGCAAACTGCTCCAGTGGAAGGGGTCCCTGCCTGTGGCAGGGGTTGGAGCTGGAGGAGCTTTAAGGTCCCTTCCAACCCAAACCACTCTGGTTCTGTGAGTTGCCAACGATGGACAGAGCTGCCTGCTCAGTGCTGCGGGGGAAAGCTGCCCTTGAGAACAGGGGGACAGTGCCCGGAGCTGGGGTCCTCCCCAGACCCACAGCCCATCCCTGGCTCCAGGCAGCGTTTGGCATCTTCTGCATTGATCAGTTATTGCCTCTTTTCCTTTGGAAGGAAGCCTTTCCTGGGCATTGCAGAGCCCGTCGAGGGGCTGGACTGGCTGCGGTTCCCCTGACATAACTCCAGCACTTGCCTTTCCTGAAAGGCTACAGCTTAATTGGGCAGACCCGGAGCCATAAATTACGTGCTGAGGGACCAGCAATTGTGCAATATTGTTGCAAAACCCCTTTTTGGTGGGAGGCATCGGCTGTGGTGTGGGGCAGCCAAGGGCTCCTCCAGGAAACGCTTCACCCTCCAGCGAGGGGCCGGAAATTCTCCTTCTGTTATCAGATAATCTCAGGATTTGCAAAATATCCTTTTTTTTTTTTTCTTTTGGAAGAAGACCAGGAAAGTCATTGCTTTAGTCAGAAAATCTGAATTCCATCTGGAATTCCATGCTGGAAGATGATTGTTTCTCCATGGCAAAGTGCTGTTCCTCCTTTCCTAGAAACCGAAAAAGTCCCAACTTTTCCTTTCCAAAGCTCTCCTGGCTATTTAAACACAGGTCAAATGAAGGGTGGTGAGCACCCCCTTCATTTCAGTGTGGAAGCTAAAGCAGACTTTGCTTGCCCCAGTTAAGAGGCAGCTTCCCAACACAGCTGTCGAGCCCAAGGCTCAGCCCCGGCCACTTTTACCCTTCACAGGTTTGGGTCATTTCAGCCTCTGACCTTGTATCACCACTGGAAACGGCACAGGAGAATGGCAAAGCATAAACCGTCCTCTGGGGCACTGGAGCTGTTATTCCTAGAAACAGGCAAAGCACTTTGGAATCAATGACATTTTACTCATGGCCGCTGGAGAGGTTTCATCTCCTGAATGATAGGATGGGATAAACGCGATCCCGATCCGGCTGGCACCAGCAGCTCTGTTCGCAGCCTGGCTGGACGGCTCCTGAAGGAATTAGAATAATCAATCCCCCAAATGACAAAAGTATTGATTAGCACTTTAGCCTCTTCCCAGCCTGGCAGCGCTGTGACTCCAGGAGCATCCAGAGCCATGAAAGGCAGCCTCAGCTGTGGATGGGGATGCTCAGCCAGTGACAGCGCAGCCAGGGGTTTGTATGCAATGATGGCAATACTGTTCTCATCCCTCTTCCTTGCTCTTGTTCAATGTGCACAGTGGTTCATTTTTGATACCTATTTAGAATCCTAGAACCATGGATGGTTTGGGTTGGAAGGGACCTTAAAGCTCCTCCAGCTCCAACCCCTGCCACGGGCAGGGACCCCTTCCACTGGAGCAGCTTGCTCCAAGCCCCTGTGTCCAGCCTGGCCTTGAACACCCTTTGAACTCCCTGGACATGGCAGGAGCAGCGGGAGGGATGCTCCCCGTCCTGGTGCTGAGCAAGCTGATGCAGCTCCTCAGCAGCATGGTCAGCCTTTTCCCAGGGACATGAGTTAACATGGACGATGTGTCCAGCCCGCGCGGCACCGCCACAGACCCCGGCTGGGATGTGTGTGCTGTGCTGGTCGCAGGGCTGAGCTCAGCCCCTAACACGGCCTTCCAAAGCCAAGAGTTTGTGAAATGCCAGAAGAGAGTTGGTGTCCAAAGAGGAATTTGGAGGTGTGCTGCTGCTTCAGCGTGCTGCAGAGGCGAGAGTGTAATGGGATGATAGAGCACACCAGCTGCTGGAAGAGCAGAAAATGGAGGCAACTGCCAGGCTGGGATTTAAATGCTTTTGGAGGTAGAACAGACTTGCAGTCTTGCAGTGAGCTGGGTGCCATCCAGATGGGCACGGATTTCACCAGTGTGTGTGGGGATGGGGAGCAGGGACATGTGGATGGATGGAGTGGGGATGGGAGCAGTGATGCTCGGGTGGATGGCATGGGACTCAGACACTGGGATTTCAGTCAAGCAGTGATAGAAGTGCTGCCAGGGAAACTGGGGCTTGTGCTGGAGCAGGTTTGAAAACTGTAAGGAGCAAAGAGCAGAGTGAGTAGGACTGGGAGAAGTGAGGGGCAGGAGGTCCCCAGCCTGGGGAGCCGCTGGGATCAGCCTTCATTAATACTGTGCTAATGACCTGGGCAGGAGCACAGGCTCGGGGGTGCTGGGACCGCAGCCTCCGAGGGGAGCTCAGTGGGGCTTGGCCTGGAGATTTGGCACAAACAAGGCTGAGGGGGGTATGAGTGATGCTCATGAGCGCTGGGATGGGCAAGTGCCCTTTGCCGAGGAGCAGCATCACACAGGGCCGCGAGCCATGACCGTGCCGTGCCTGGGAGGAGGGGAGTGTTTTCTGCAGTGGCCTTTGCAGGAGATGCTGCTGCTTCTCCAGTGTCCCTCGATTAGCTCATGGTGAGCTGCCGGCGGGGGGTGGCGCCGTGCCCTGGCCTGCACCGCCTGTCCCCATCCCAGCATCCCAGCCCAAACAGGCGGGATGCGCCGGGGGGCTGGGATCCCCGGGGACCTGGGGCTGGTTTGGATGGTGATGGATCGATGAAGTCGCTCCCAGCCCAGCCAGGTCCCCCGAGGCTTTGGGACAGCGCGTTCCCAGTGAGTGGGGAGGCTGGGCAGGAGACACCACCCTCGCGTGTACTGGGGAGGGGGTAGGATGGGAGTGAGAACGGGAGACGGAGGCATTTAACCCCCATTAAACCCCCATTTAACCCCCCTTCAACCCCCAGGCAGGGCCTGGATGAGCCAGCAGCGGTGTGAGCAGGAGCATCCAGCCGGCAGCAGGATGCTGGCAGCAGAGCCGGGCTGCGGGCAGAGCTGTGCGGCGGCACCGGGAGGCTTTGCCATGGCACTGGCTGCTGTTGGCCCTGGAGCCTGGGCGAGCAGCCCAGTGCCTGGCTCTCTGCAGGACACAAGGACCACAGCGGGTGCTTCTCTTCGGGTTTATTAGCGTTAATATCGTTAGTCCCATGTCAACGAGAGCACACGCACAAAATGCCTGTTGCTGTCACCTGGCCAGGGCTGCAGCAGCGGCGCAGGGACAGGCAAACTGCCCGGCAGAGCGTGGTGGGATCAGTGCACCCCAGCCCACGTCTGTGCTCCCCATGGATGCTCCAAGCCTGGCTCCTGCCTGCGGGGAACCGCTGTTCCAGGAACTGCTTGTAGGGATAAGTGCACTTTAGGTGAGGGTTACTACACAGCTATTAGAGTATTAACAGACCTCGTAGCCATGAAGTCAGTGCTGCACCACGGTGGGGTGAGAAAAAGGACAGGAAACTGAAGGATGCTGGAGCAGCAGCAGACCCCACCTCCGAGCATGGGATGTCCCATCCAGCTGGTGATGGATACCTCAACCACTGCGCAGAAACAGCCCTGACTGGGACTGCTTACTTGGCATTTGCTTTAGCTGGACTCTCGGTGTGGTGGTTCTCCAGGTAAATGATCTGGGAGGGCTTTTCGGGGGGGCAACGTGGTCTTGGGCTCTGCAGGTCCCAGGACAAGGCCAGGCTCGGTGCCGGGGCGTCCTCGGTGGAGTTCTGCGAGTCGGAGTCTTCAGAGGAGAAGCTGCTCTGGCTGGAAACCTGGAAGTATTCTGCCCGCTTATGGGCGGATGGACCACGTGTGACAGCCCCGGGGGGCACGGCCGCGGGACACGGAGGGTCGGTGCCTGGAAGACGCGCCCGGGCCGGCGCGGTGAGGGGATGTCTCTGGAGGGCCCGGCTGCTGTGGGTGAGTCCTGCAGCGCCCGGGCAGGCTCCGCTCTCGGGTTTGGGGAGGGAGGTGTTGGCAGAGGCGCAGTGGTGAGAGGCAGGATCACCCTCCGGCCCCTGATGGCCGTGGGGCTGCGGGGAACTTGGCTCCGCAGCCAGTGAGGGGCTGGGAGCGCTGCTGGCCCGGGGCTGTCCTGTCCCGGCACCGGCCTCTGGTTGCTCCCCTGGCACCGCTGGCTCAGGAGCTCCCTCGCAAGGGGCAGCAGACCCCGAGCCGGGGCAGCTGAAGGAGCCTCCGTGCCCCTCGGCCTCAGCTCCCCAGGCCTCCTGCAGCTCTGCCAGCATCTCCTCCAGGACCTGCCGCGTCTCCTGGTACCGGTGCCGTGCCTCGGTCCAGGCTGCCAGCGCGGGGCTGCTCCGCATCCTGCGCACCTGAGCCTTCATCTCCTGCAGCTTCTCCAGGGCGAACTCCACCAACAGCTTCTGGAAGGAGCTCTGCAGGCCCTGCAGCGCCCGGCCCTCCTCGCGCTTCCCCCGCCCCGGGCACTGCCCGCAGCCCAGCTTCAGCCCCCTGATCTGGAACAGAAGGGAAGTGTGGCCATGCCCGGGCTGCGCCACGGCGCCGGCTCCCCCCGGAGCAGAGCCCGAGCTCCCACCTTGCTGGAGAAGCATCCGAGGTCCCGCAGCAGCTCCCGCTCCGCCTGGCGCCGTTCCACCTGCCTGTGGAAGCTCGTCAGCTTCGTCCGGAAAAGGGCCACGGCCGCCTGGAAGAGGTCTGCCTCTGGGAAAGCTGCGCCTTGGACCTCAGCTGCCTCCTGACACAGCACCAGGCCGTGCCGGTACTGAGCCTGCAGGGACAGGAGGAAAGAGCAAGCTCCATGTTCGGGAACGGCACTGACCCCACGATGGGATGGGCGAGCAGGATATGGTGAAGATCATTTGGTGGCACGACCAGGGCCGCACTGCAAACGTTTGTGGGCGAGAAGAAGCAAATAGAACCAGGCTCTCCAAAGCTCTGCTCTGTCCTGAGCGGAGCTCTGAGCTCTGTCCTTGAGCCTGAGCTCTGCTAGCCTCAGAATGCTCCAAGTGCATCGCCCTGTCCCGAGTGGAGTCACTTTGCCTCATCCTCCCTGCGGTGCATGCAGCCAGTGGGCTATGGGATGAACAAAAGCCTGGCACCACATTATCTGCTGTCTGATGGACACCCAGGCTCTGCGAGACGAAGGGGGCTGTGAAGGACAGAGCACAGCAGGGGCTGGGGACAGCAACCCCAGCCCAAAGCGCAACCAGGAGCCACACAGCTTCCCTCTCACTGGAACAAGGCTGCCCAAAGACCCTGGTAAAGTGGGGCCTGAAGACTGCAGCTTGACCTCCACCCGGCCAGCCTGGGCACAGCCGCGATTGCCAGAGCTGGGGGATTTGGGCTGATCCTATCCAGCTTTGTTACGACATTCAAATGTTTCTAATTTGGTGATGTCTGCCCAGCACCAGGCAGGGCCCGGAGCTGCCCCAGGGACTCGTGTTACAGAAAACCCTCTCGAACATACTGTTGCCTGGGCGAGGAACTCGTTGAACTGCTCGTCAGACCCCAGGAAGCTCTCGGGGCTCCACTCCTCAGCACCCATCTCCTGCAGCCGTGCCGCTGCCTCCCCGTCCAGCCACAGCCCCAGCTGCAAGAGAGAGCGGGGTCAGCAGCACCTCCCCTTCCTTCCCCACCGGAGCATCCCGCCCCGCTCGCCTCTAGTGAAAATCAAAGCTCGGGCAATCCTGTTGCTCTCCGGGCTTCCTTCACCAGCAAACCCCAGGGAAACGCGCCTGAAGTGCTCAGCTGCGGGAGCACCGCAGAGGACAATGCATCCCGCTGCACCCAGAGCAGGACCACCTCACCTTGCTGAACTCAGCCTCCAGCTCCCGCACCTTCCGGAGGAACTCCAGGCGCTCCAGGGAGCTGTTGGACTGGAACACCAGGTCATGAAGCTCTTCCTCCAGCTGATTGTACAGCGCCTCGGCCGACTCCATGCTGGTCCTGGTGGTTGGGGACGAGGGGGGCCATCAGTGCTGGGTGCTGCCAGGCGAGCTGCGGCAGCTCCCGGTGGGCAGGACTGGATGGGGCAGCGCCCGGGAGCGGGCATGTGGCCATGCGGAAAGCGGGGATCAGATGTGCAATGACCCAGCACGTGCAGATGGAGAGATGCGGGCAGGTGCCTGCGTTGGGAGCCAACCATGGATCTCCTGCCACGCATATCCCTGGAGCCCACCTAGGACGTGAGGACACTCCCAGCTGTGTGCTGGGCAGCATCTCCAGCGCCGCACGCCAGGAGCACCTTTCGCGTGCCGACATCTCCCCATCCACGGAGCAAGGTGAAGGTTGGGGAACGTGGGACGGGAAAGCGTTGGCTTCCCGTGCCCCCGGGGAGAGGAGGGAGCAGGAGCACGGGATTCACGCTGCCGGCATGGACGGGCTGCGGGCGCGAGCGGCACCGCCGGGGCCGGGCCCCATCTAGCGGCTGTGCCTGAGAGCAGCCCGCGGGAGCCGCTGCGGGCCCCGACACGAGCCTGCAGGGCAGGAGGGAGCCCGGGCGTGCTGGGAGGAAGCCGGAGCTCCTGCGGACACGGGGTTCCTGCGGCGGTGGCTCTGCAGCCAGGAGGCAGCCGGGGGTCCCCGGTGCTGGCCGCTCTCCGAGGTGAACCCATCCCGTCCTACCTGACGTGGGCCGAGGTGCGGAGCCGGGCGGCCTCCCTGCGCAGCCTGGCCAGCACGGCCCCCCCCTCGCGCTGCACCCACACCAGCGGCGCATCGCTCAGCACCCTCCGCATCAGCTCCCGGTGCCTCCCGATGCAGGCGCCCGCATCCTGCAAGGGAAGGTTGGGCACGCTCTCACCTGGGGTGCAGCAGCTCCCATCGCATGCAGGGACCAGCCAAGGGGGCAGGGACAGCCCCATGGCTGGTCAGGGAGCGGCTGCACCGAGTTTTGAGCAACCGTGGTGAAATGTGGCTCTGTTGGACTACAGATGGGCACTGCAACCTGCAGTGCTGCATCCCGCCGTTACCTGCGTCCCCTCCTTTACCTGTGTCACCACCAGCGTGTTGCCACTCTGCAGCTCCTGGATGCAGCTCCGCAGCAGCTCCGATGCCCGCCGGAGGCTGGCCGTGAAGGGATGCAGTTTCTGTGGGTGGACACACAGCAGGTCAGTGGGGTGGGCAGGGGGGCAGGAGGGCAGCCTGCCTGTGAGGAGGAGAAGGAGCGGTGCCAGGCCAGAGCAGGGAATGCCGTGGGGCACTGGGTTAAATCTGAGGAAGGGAGCGTGGAGGTGGATGGGCAGTTGCAGGCAGGAGCAGGCAGGAGGGGGCTGCCCTCCTGCACTCAGAGCTCTCTCCTGGGCTTTCCCATTGATTTTCGGGGATGTGCGACATGGAAGCGGTGGCGGGGGTGAGAGGTGGGGAGGAGAGGTGGGGAAAGGGGCACTGCAGGGAGGTGAGGCTGTGGCTCATGGCGTGGAAACAGACACCTGGAAGAACTGCACCCACTCGCCGTGGCTGTAGGGGAAGGCACCGTCCAGCTCCGGTGTCAGCTGGGAGCTGTCGACGAAGCGGCCCAGAGCCTTCAGCGACGGCAGCGACTCCACCTGCGGGCACGGGGCGGGTGAGCGCTGCGGGACCGACACAGGGACACCCCCAGGGAGAGCCTGGAGCAGGGGCACAGCCCCTCCTGCCCTGAGCACCCTGTCCTGGTAACCAGCGGGTTGGCCCTGGGAGCACCACGTGTGACAGCTCCACTCGGAGCATCCCCCGGCCTCCCCATCGTGTTTGAATGCACGGGAGATCACTGGACCACAATGACCTGCCACGACAGCGCAGCTAGGTGATCACTAATATTGCACATTAACCCGAGCAGCACGAAAGGAATAAACCCAAGTTTAGGTTTATTATCCCAGTGCCCGTGTCCAGGCGCTGGAGGTAACAGGGAAGGCGCTGGCTGCCCTGGGACAGCTTTTGCCTGCTGCAAGCCCAGGGACCCCCATGGAGGGACAAGCCCCACTGAGGTGCTGCTCTGCCTGGGGTTCCCCAGCTGGGAACTGGGGCCTCCAGGTAAAGGGCACAGAGGATCCCCTGTGGCAGGAGGCTCCGCTCACCCTCGCTCTGCTCTTCCCACAGGAGACAACGTGGGGACAGGAGGAGGGGGCAGGGACAGGCTCACCTGCACCCCGGGCAGCTTCTCGCGGTGCGTGACCAGCTCCTTCTCGGCCAGCAGCAGCACGGTGTGGATGCAGCCCGGTGAGATGCTCTGCGGGGAGGAGTCACCACCCCAAATGGCAAACCCCGTGGTGCAGCCCTCGGGGCTGCCCAGCTCAGCTGGGGCTGGTGAGTCAGTTACAAAGGAAGAGGCTCCTGAGCTCACTGGTGTGGGGAACAGAAATGAGTCGCTCGGGCCGTAACCCTGTCCCAGCCACCAGCTCCCTGGCAGAAAGGACCCACGGAAAGAGCCTTGTGAGCAAAGCCTTTTGCTTGCACCAGCGGTGCTTCTGCACGCAGAGAGCACTGGGGCTGGTGTGGGATTCACTGGGCAGGCTGCAGCCAAGCCCTGAGCACACAGAGGCAAAGGGTGCCCTGGCAGGGAGGACCCACAGCCCCAAGACAGCACAGGCCCCCCCAGCAGCACTGGCTCCCAGGCACGGACCCCCCACCCCAGCACATCTGTGCGTGGGGGTGTGGAGCATGGAGTACCTGGGCAGAGCGGAGGGCAGAGAACAGGACAGGAGCAGGCGGCTGCTTCCTGGCATCCACCACGACGGTCAGCCCGGCGTCCTTCGTGTCTTGCCTGGCAAGGGGAGACAAAGCAGGAGGCAGCACACGAAGTCCTCAGGTAGGACCCACTCCAAGCCCGGTCCCATGGCTCTAGGCAGGCAGGAACCGGCAGCCACAAGCAATGGCCTTTTCCCTGTGGGATGCCTGAGGCGAGGGCAGGGCCAGACCTCATAGAGGCAGGGTACAGGGTCCCCGCGGGTGGCTGCAGGAGGGGCTCTGTGGACATGCCGGCTGCTGGGCATCCAGCCCTGCTTGGCCAGGGGCTGCCTGGGACCCTGAGCCGGGGAGCAGGCGGGGGGCCCATGGCAGCTCCCCCAGCCCTTACCTGGCGATGGAGCAGAGGTAGAGGATGAGCGTCCCCAGCTCAGCGGCCGAGCACCACGCGGCCCCCCAGGCGCTGCCGCCGGTGGTCACCTGGAGCAGGGCCCTGCCCTGCCTGTCCGAGCTGCCTGCAGGGAAAGGGGTGCGTGACCCCCCGGAGCCGCTGCGGGCTCCAGCCCCAGGGGCCGGGGCTGCCCATGGCTGCAGGAGCGGGCTCTGCCCTGTCTGGGCTCGGGGGCTCAGCAGCGGCCCCCGCACCCCAGCCCTCCGGAGGGCTCTCGGCAGGAACCAGCCCTGGAAATGGCAGGGCAGAGCTGCCTGTGTGCTGCTCCCGAAGGAAACGGTTTTGTCACCGTTCTGCAGCTCTTGGGAAGAAGGAGAAGCCAAATGTTTAGTGCTTGGCAGCTAAAGCTGAGCGGCTTCACTGGTGAGGAATGGTGTGGGAGGGCTCGGTGCAGCTGGGGATGGGGCAGCTGCTCCGAGCAGGCTGCTTGTTTTTATGGTTCTCATTCTTTTTGCCCAGATGAAAGAAAATTTCCCCCTGCTCCAGCAGAGCCCCAGGACCTCCCTCCAGCAGCTCAGTGCTCTCCCTCTGGAGCCCAATCCCGACATCCGCGGGTCGCGGCGCTGGTGATACCTGGCAGGCACACGATGCCCGAGTGCAGCAGCCCCGTGTGCAGGTCCTGCCAGGCCGGCGGCTCCAAGCCCACAGTGCTGGTGCTGGTGCTGGGCATGGAGGGTCCATTCTTACAGCCGGAGCTTTCCATGGGTCGTTCCTCCGCAGGGGCAGGGGCTGCCACATCCGAACCTGCCCATGGGGACAGAGGAGAGGAGCTGATAATGTGCAACGAGGCAGGGGAATGCAAACCCCCTGCACAGGTCCCACAGCCCTGCTCGGCCGGTACCTTTCCCGCCTGCCTTGGCTCTGCCCATCCTGGGCGAGTAGATGGCAGACATCTTCCTCCAGGCCCCTTCCTGCTGGCTGCCGGCTCTTTCATCCCCAGGGGCCGCCCCGAGCCGGGGCCCCTTCAGGAAGGAGAACTTGTGGCCGGAGCCCTGGGGCAGCCGGGGGCTGCTCTGCCGCGCCCCTGCCTGGGCTCGGGGGGTGAGGAGCGTGGGGCTGCCGGCCCCCATCCCGCGCTGCGCGGGGCTCTCACGGGGAGCAGCGGGGGGCGGCTCGGGGCCGGGGCCGTCCGGCTCCTCCAGGATGGCAGCCATCAGCCCGGCGCCGAAGCTCACCGGGTTCTGCAGCGCCGCCAGGTACGAGTCGCGGTGGCGGCACCGTGGCCCGTGTGGCCCCGGCTCCCGGCTCAGCTCCTGCCCCAGGCACGGGGTGCAGGGACCCTCCTCCGAGCTCGGTGTCGCCCCGCAGGGACCCCCGTTCACACAGCGGAGCGCAGCCTTGTTCCCGGCACCCGCCGGCAGGGACCTGGCCAGGAGGCCCATCTGCTCCGGGGACAGCTCCAGCAGGTCCACGTACTCCCCCTCCAGGTTCTGGCTGATGATCTCGCAGAGGCTGGGCATGGCCAGCGCGCTCGGCTTCTTCCGCAGCCCAGCCTGGTCCACCTTGATCAGTCCCGGGTATTTTCCCTGGCTCGACTTCCGAGAGGTGCCCTTGCAGCCCGGGATGGTGCCCACAACGTTGCTATAGGGCCCGGGGATGCCTGCCTTGCCGTGGGGCACGGGCACGCTGGGTGTTGCTGACTCGACTGCAGCTTCAGAAGCAGGGTCATGCTGGGTGTCCACAGACATCCCATCAGCGGCAGCCTTGGGCTTGTCGATGAACTCCGGTGTGGCAATGCTGCTCCACGGCAGCGGGGCGATGCCATTCTCAGTGGCCACCAGGCAGGTTTGCAGGGGGGCTCCGGCCCGGCCGCCGTTGATCTCCTCCAGCCACTCGTTGGTGAAGAGCAGCGCGTAGGCAGCCTCGGGGACCGGCATCTCCTCCACCGTGCACAGGTCCTGGGAGAGGTGCTTGAGGACGATGCGCGCCGAGTGCTCCTCGCACGGCTCTGCCTGCAGGTAGAAGTCCCCAGGGCGCAGCAGGAGCGGGTTGAGCGGCGCGAGGTGCACGACCACCTTCTCGTGCAGACACAAGGGCCAGCCTTCATGGAGAAAGATGCAGTTAAAGTAGGGAGCCTGGGAGGGAGGAAGAACACAGCGCGTGAGCGAGAGCCCCCACCAGCTCCAGACCCTCCCAGCCAGCCCCATGCACTCTCACTACCCAGCTCTGCAGTTCCATGGTGGGGATTGATGAGCCCCATGACCCAATGGGATATCCCTAGGCTGAGCCATAGCAGAGCCCTGCAAGCCCACCCGCTGCTGTGTGCTCCCCATGTGCTAACAGAGGTGAAACCTCTGTCAGAGCCTCTCCAGAGACAAGACAAGGTGACCCCCCAGTCCCTCTGCCCCTATTGCAGGAACTGCATGTGCCAGGCTCAGTGCTGGAGCCCTCCCAGGGAGCTGGATGCACCGTGGTCCCCTTTAGGGAGGGGATGGGGACAGGAGGGGAGATGCAGAGGGAGTGCACAGGCTTACGCAGGCTGCCTGCCGGACGTGCTCGAAGAGGCGCTTGGCTGGGATGAGGAACTGGAGCAGGCAGCAGAGCCCATCACCCTGGTAGCTGGTCTCCAGCAGCCGGAAGACTTGCCCCAGCACCGTGGGGGCCGTGGCGTCGAAGGGCGGGTAGAGGGCCTGGAGGGCGCCCTGCACCGCTGCATCCAGGGAGCCGGCATCCTGCGGGAGGAAAGTGTCACCGGTGGGGACAGCAGCCCCGCAATGGGGCACTGACCCCACACATCCCATGCCCACCATCCCGTGTGCTGTGCCTCGGCCGGGTCCCTCTGTGCCCACACCGGCAACGTGCTGAGCTCGGGGGCTCCAAACCTTCCTGTGCTGGAAGCTGGGAATGATCCGGGCACGGAGCACCCCAAGCACTGCACAGCCCAGGGGCAGGAGCACGGCCGGGTCTGGTTCCCAGCGCCGGGCTGTGGTTTAAGGAGCCTGAGAAAGGAGCTTGGGAATGGGGCCATGCGGAGGCGGAGGAGCTGCAGCAGCCAAGGGGTTAAGCTGAGCCAGACGCAGAGCAGAGCTTGGGGATGTGCCGGGCTCAGCAGCGCTGCAGGAATGCAGCAGATGGGAGGAAGGACAAACATGGGAAGATGGATTGGGTGTTTTGGTTCACTCTCATCACTGAATTCACTGAACTCTACATCGATCCTCCAGGCTTTTTCTGGGAATCGCTCTGCTGGGTCACAGCCCCCTCCCTGCGCTTCCAGACTGGGATGAGGATGAGGACACTGCTTTGTGCCATGTGTAAACTGGGGGCTCCAAGTTGGCTCTCCCAGCCCTGCAGGAGACATTGGCCGTGCAGACCCGGCTGGCGCAGCCAATGCGTGGAGGAGCCATCAGCCAGCTCCTGTTAAACCCCAGCATCACTGCAGGCAGTGCCGGGTGACTGCAGACAGACACGGCTGCTGAAACGAGCCACGGGACACACAGGGGCTCCTCCAGCTCCTTGGCCAGTATCTCTGCAGGAGAGGCTCCAACACACAAAACTGCTGTGCCGGTGCTGGGGGCTGGAAGTGGAGCTGCAGCAGGAGAGGTGCAGGTCTGTGTGGAGCAGGGTCAGGCCCAGCCTGGCTGAATGCGGATCTGCCCCTCTGCAGTGGGCCACCAGTCCTCCTCCTCCTGCAGAGCACAATGTGGTACCTCTGCCTGTTGAGTACCAGGGAGCCACCAGCCCTGCCGCTGGCTGCAGTCACAGCACAGCCGAGCCCATCTCCTGGGGTGGGCTCTGGATTTAACAGCGGAGGACAGCTCGCTGTCATCCCTGCACTCTGGGGTGGGAAGGTGGGATGAGCTGAAGGTGGGGTGAGCTAAAGGTGAGCATTAGTTTCAGGCAGCTAATCCTTGGCCTGTGAGCCCATACAGAGATAGTGACCTTGGTTAATTCAGCTTAATTAGCTTTAATGCGCTTTAGCTAAAGCACTTTGCAGTCATGCTCTGGATAATTCTTGACTTTGTGTCCACACAGGAATCTCCTGCCCTTGGGCCTGGTGGGAGAGCAGGAGAGCAAGTCCCTTCTCAGGGCCATGGGCTCTAAGTGGACGCCCCTGCCAGGCTGGTGGCTGTTGGACCATTGGTCTTCTCATGCTTGCTCTTGCCTTGTGCAGCTCCCAGGAGGGACTGGAGCCTGGCTCTGGAACAGCCCCACCGCAGGGTAAAGCCCAGCTCCCAGCTCTGCCTCTACAGGGTCACCATCCGCAGCGACCCATCCAGCTCCTAATGCTGCCCAGAGAGATGAGCCAGCTCTGCGCCCTGCCCAGGGTCACCCATACACAGCCCTGGCACACACAGAACCAGCTCTCTTGAAACCAAACTCGTGGCACTGATAAAGCAAGTAAAACCAGAAGGAAAAGCCAGGAACTCTGCTCAGGGCAGGCTGCACCACGGGGTGATGGGCAGCCCCAAACCCGGCCATTCCCTGGCTCAGCCATGGTCTGGTGGGGCAAAGGCACATACTTCCAGCTGCTCCAACCCACTGCCATCATCTCTGGTGACACTGGCCCCTCAAACCCTGAGCAGCCTCCCTGGCCTCAGCACATGCATCCCAGCTCCCTGGTCCCCTGCCTTGGGTAAAGTGAACTTGGGGTGCCTGGGGAGGGGCAGCCCCACTGCAGGGGAAAAAGGATCTTCCCAACCATCACCAGAACCCCACAGCATGCGGAGGATGGATCCACTGAGTCAACAAAGCCGCTTCCTTGTCCGTGGAACAAAACCACCCAGGACTTCATCCAGCAGCGGGGAGCTGCGGGCTGATGGAGGCTCCAGACACAGCCTGGGTTGTGCTGGGGAAGTTTGGCCTGGAATGCCTAGGAATGTTCCCTGAGTGTCACAAAGCACTTCACCACAGCGGGAGGCTTGAGGGGCAACCACGGTGGGAGATGCCAGGCCCCGGCCTGCCAGGGAGTGCTGGAAACCCAGACCAACCAGAACAACCATCAGCCCAGGTCCCTCCACCAGCTGCGGGTGAGCGTGGAACCGAAACAAAAGGCATTAGGGAGCATAAGGAGATTTACATTTGCAAAGCCATTTCCATTTTAATAAGCCAAAGTGCTGTTAAATAGAGATTGATATTTCTCCCCAAATACCCATATTTTTAAAGTGGTTTACACCAACAAGGCCAGCCGAGCTTTGGTGTTCTGGTGCTGGAAAGTTGCTTAACTCATACATGGGGTGACTCAGCTCCATCCCCCTTCTCCCTCCTCTCAGGAAGGAGCGAGGTTTGAGTGTTGAGACCAGCTCTGAATAACAATTCCTCTGGCTCTCCCACAGCTCTCACTGGCAGCAACTTTGGCAGCGCACGATGCAGACAGTGAATGCTATCGACCCCCCGAGCCCAGCACAGCATCGCCCATGAACCCACAGCAATGGGGACAAACAAGCCCTGGGACCCACTGAGCATCCTGTACCTGCACATCGGGCATGATTCACGCGGTAGCACCTGCTTCTTGCACCCCATTCCCCAGCCAGACTTCACAGGGGTGTTCAAGCATCCCGGGATGCCACCCGCATGCGCCCTGCCCCAATGGCCCCATAGCTCAGGAGAGGCCATGGCCCATGGGTGCCCGTGGATGCTCACAGGGTCCCGTGGGCTCTCGCAGGGCAGGGCAAGGGGAAGGATAGGAAAAGAGAAGGAATTACCATGTTGGGTGGGAAGTGGCGGAGGGGCCTGGCACCAGCCGTCCCCTCCCTGGTCCTCGCCGGGGCCGAGCGCTGACCCCAGCCCGGTGTCCCCCGGCCCGGTGCTGCCGCTCGCCGCTCCCCCGGCGGCTCCTCCCGCGCTGCGGGCGGGGACGGGCAGCCCCGGTCCCCCCTCCCCGGCCCCCCCGGCCCAGGCCGGCTCCGGCCGCGCCCCTTCTGGGGGAAAAAAGAAGGGAAAAAAAGAAAAAGAAAAGGCGCAGAAAGCGCGAGAGCGGCGGGGCGGAGCGGGGGAGGGGCTGCCCCGGCCCGGGGGGACCGAGGAGCACAACCGAGGAGGCGGCTCCTCCTGGGGACCCCCCCGGACCCCGCCGGTGGCCCCGGGCGGGATGGGGCGGGAGCCGCTGCGGCTCCGTCCCCCCGGTCGGATCGGGGAGCGGGGGGGATGTGTAGGACCCCCGGGGGGGGGCAGCTCCGGCTCCCGGGATCCTTCCCAGCACCGGGAGGAGCACAGGGCTGCGTGTGCGTGAGTGTGCGCACACAACCGGGCGTGCAGCGCTCGGCGGGTACCTCTCGTTAAACAAACACAGGCCGGTGCTGATGGGAACCATCGGGGCTGGTCTGTGTTCAAATCACAGCTCGCAGCTCGCGTTTCGCAGTTGGCCCAAAGCGCAGCTGATTAAAAGTGGCTCTGACGGCTTTTTGGGCTGTTCCAGCATGGAAAGTACCTACTCGGAGGCAGAATGGTGTGATTTAGCAGCCAGAAGTTGTACAAAAACAACCAGCGCACGAGCCAAAGCCACAGATTTGGTCTATCCCAGTGCAAAGTGCCGCTGCTCGCACAGCTTGGGCTGGACGCTCCCCCTGTCATGACTGGGTCTGGGATGGGACCAGGGATGGGTGGGATGGCCACAGCATGGCCCGCTGGGGCAGTCTGGATAAGGAACGTTTGTCCAGGGAGCAGCGAGCAGCCAAAGGACAGGCTGTGCAAACACGGCGAGACAGGAGGAGGTCCAGCTGCGCTGCTGGCTCAGCCGGACAGAGCACGGCGCCAGCACCCTGCGATTGCTTCCCATTTCCTTGGGAGCCAGTGGAGCCCAGTGCTCGCCCCCCAGGTCACGAGTGCTCCAGGGCTCAGGCACGGTGCCGGTGGGAGCCATGGGAGCAGGGCTGCAGCCCACCACCAGCTCCGACCCACAGGCACTGCTCAGCCCCTTGGCTCAAACCCGGTCCAAGCTGCCTGCCTGGGACCCCTAATGCAAACTGGGGCTGCATGGGCCAGCTTCTCCCTCCCTACCAGTGACCAATTGCTCCTTTAACTGTAATTCACTTACTCTGCTTCAGCCTTTATATTCCCTGAGAGGAGCATGGGCTTCTGCTGCCCTTTCTCATTCGCGTGGCCACTGGAGAAATGAGCCCAAGAACTTGCCCTGTCTTGTGCCCCTCTGCTGGGCACTGGGGCTGGGTGAGGAGGCTGTGGACGGAGGAAGGCAGTGTGACTGGCCAGGTCCAGCACCGGCAGATAGGGTCCCTCTGCAGCACTGGTGAGTAGGAGGGATAGGATGTGAACCTGAGCCCCAGGGACCACATCACCCTGGCACTGTGTGTGCCTGATGGCAGCAGGTCCCTGCCTGCACCACGGGGTGGCTTGTTTGGGCTGTGCTTGATTGAGGAACACTGCAGATGCACCCGGTGTGGCTGGGTCCTGCTCTGCATCCCTGCAGCACCCCAAAGCAGCTCCTCCTGCCACCCAGACACAGCAAAGCCTGGAGGTGGGATCAGTGTGCTGGGGACTGAGCTCTCCCTAGCAAAAGGCAGAGCTGCTGTGGGCCTCCAGGGCCCTGACCCCATGAGCTCACCCTCTTCTGCTCCCTTTCTCCATGTCCTGTTTGTCCCGAGCAGCTGCAGGGACAGACCGCATGTGGCCTCGTGCCCTGCCCCTCCGCGGGCACAGAGCCACCATTGAGATCCCCCCGGCTCTGCCCGAGGTCACCATTCCTGCATTTTTATTTTTACGTTGCTGCAGATCCCCCCCCCCCCGCATCCTCTTTTGTCTCCCACGAGGCTCCCAGAGCCGTCCTCGTGTCACGAGCTGCGTGAGGAGCCCGCCTGTCTGGGCTTGACGGCAGCCCTCGGTGGGGGGGACAAGACACAGCGGCTGCGGCGCCGGCCCCGGGGGTACCCCGGGATGTCGGGGTGGAGGCAGGGTGCCGAGCCCGGCACTGGGGATGGACCCTGGCGCTGGGCTCCCGCTGGGACCTCGTGGCTGCGCCCTCATCTGCCTGTGCCTCGCTGAGCTCTCGGGGCCGGGGCGTTCCCGGCTGCCTGGTCCCGATGCAGGGGTCAGGGCTGGCGTCAGCAGCGACCCCGCGCTGGCTCGGAGCCCTCGGGGCCGGGTCACGGTGATCCCGCAGCTGGGAAAACATCAGCGGCGGCCCCGGCTGCGCTCGGATGCTGCTGGATCAAAGGGTGCCGGGAGCCCGCAGGTGATGCGGCCCCGCGGGGCTGGCAGCGATCCCGGTGCTGACGGGACCCCACCGAGCTCTGGGGGCAGTCCCCGCGGTGTGGGGACAGCCCCAGAACAGACCACAGGGCAGGGCCCGGTTCTGTGCCTGGCACTGAGCTCGTCCTGGCTAGCAATGGGGCAGGGGAGGTTTTATCTCTCGCTGTGGACTTCTCTTTTCCAGGGTGTCCCCCCCCCAGCCCGGTCACTCTCACTTTCCTTGCCCAGGCCCCAGGTTTTCCCCTGCGGTGTTTGCCAGCCCCAGGCCGCAGCGATGCCACCAGCACCCGCTGCCCGGTCCCTGGGGAATTCCCAGGCCAGCTGTGGCACCGCAGGAAGCGGATGTGGCTGCTTTCCTTCCCGAAGGCCGGTGCACCCATTGCCAACCCTTGCCGGGTGCTCACGTGAGGAGCTCGAGGCGGTGAGCTCAGGGGACCTGCACTGGCAATGGGGCAGAGCCCCAGCACAGGGTGCAGCGTGGTTTGGGCCATTGCATCACACCAGAGATGCGGAAAGAGCTGTGGACAGCATCAGGAACTGCCCGCACATGCCAAGGAGCGTGTGGGGCTGGAGCGAGCCCTGACCTGGGGATGGGGACAGCAGAGCGGGTCCTGGCCTGCAGCCGGGGCAGGGGACAGCCAGTGGCACACGAGAGGAGCATCCTGTAGCTCCCTGCCCTCGCTCCCACCTGATGGTCCTTTCCTGCACACACAGCTCAGCAGCCCCCAGCCCAGCTCATGCTCAGCTCTCTGCTCACAAAGCACTCTCATGTCCAGCCTGTGCAGCGAGCATTAGATGTGGCTTTGGCTGCTCCTATCCAACCACAGGAGCATTTGCTCAGGGTCTGTGCTCCTTGAAGGGGTTTTTGGTTCACTTTAAAAATCTCGGACCCAGAAGGAGACTTTCTGGTTTTGCTTCCTCTGTGCCGCTGCCTATAAAATTTCATTTCTCCTCATGGAAGAGGCTCTGGTTCCTCAATGCTCATCCCGAATGTCAACAGTTTTGAGATGTGCCACGGACAGGAGGGCTTGAGCAATAGCTGCGTTTCACAAGCGCTTGGTTCAGGGATGTTTCCTCCGGCAGCCAGAACTTCCCTGGATGCAGCACAAGATCTGCCCGCATCAGCGGCCGTGGGCTTCCTCTGCCTGCTCCCGCCACCTCCCCAACGGGAAATGAAAGTCACTTAAATCATTTCTTCACTCAGCTCCATCCCACAGCCCGTGTGAGGGTCCAGCCAGCCTGGATCTCCCTGCTGGAGACCCCAAGGGTGCCCCCCTACCCCTGCCTGCCCCCAGCTCCTGCCCTCATCCCCAGCCCAAGAGCTGTGACATGTCAGGGCCCCGCAAGTTTTGCCGTTGGGATGTGATCCTGGTGGGCTGGATGTGTCCTCCTGTGCACGGCTGCCCTGTGCTGGGCACCCTCATGGTTTGGTTGCCCCCCATGGCCAGCCCTTTCACAGCCTTGCTGGGTGTGGGGGGACTCCAGGGTCTGCCCATATGCGATGAGAAACCATAACTCTCTTCCTTCAGCCCTTGCTGTGCCCCAGCGCTGCTCTGGTTACACCGGAGCCTTTGGTGGGTCTGTGCTGACAGCAGCAGCTCGAGCCCAGGGCAGACCCGAGCTCTGTGGTGTGGAGTGAGGAGGCAGCAGGGTTGGCGGATGGCCCGGGGGCCGTTCCCAGCCTTTGCTTGGCAGAGGCAGAGCAGAGCAGGCAGCGAGAACACAGCCGCGTCAGCCAAACCCTGCCCGCAGCAGGGCTGCACCCCACGGGGAGCTGGACACCGAGCTCTTGCCTCCCGGATTTCCCTGCCTGTGAGGAGAGGCACCGCGCACGCTGCCGGTGTTCCATGCCGTGCCGTATCGTGCCGTGCCGTATCATGCCATGCTGTGCCACGTTGTGCCGTGCCACAGGCACGGGTGCCAGCAGTGCAGAGGAGCCGGGCGGTGGCCAAGCAGGAAGCTGTGGGGCTCCGGGGCCGTCCCGCACCGGCTGTGGCAGCGGCTCCGCCGCCTCCCTCAGCCCCGGTTCCCGTTTTGGCAGGGGTATAAAGGCAGCGCGGGCAGGGAGAGCCGGGCACTGCGGCACCGCGGGGCAGCCGGGATGGGAGCGCAGAGCCTGGCCGTGGCTTGCGGGGCGCTGGCTTTGTGCCTGGCACTCGCCAGGGCCGCCAACCCCGGCTTTGTGGTGAGGATCACCCAGGCAGGCTTGGACTATGGTGGGTTTGGCTGCTCGTTTCCCTGCTTGCAGGTGTGCTGGGGCTGAGGCATGGAGCTGGGTGCAGGGTCCTGGGGCAGGGCAGGAAGCTTGGCTGGAGGTGCCAAAGGCACCATTGCTCCTTGCTTCCCACCGGTGCATCCCCCGGCTGGGACAGGCGCAGGGCAGAGGGTGCTGCTCTCATGGCAAGTGCCGGGGCAGCAGAGCCCTGAGCCCTGGAGGAGAGAGCTGCGGAGGTGGGAGCTGCAGGGGGGCACTGACAGAGATGGATGGGCCCCGTGCGGGTGTTACTGAGGCAGGCAGAGCCCGGCTCCAGTGGAGCGCTGTTATGGATTGAAATACACTCCACGAGGAACAGCTCATTTAGCCGGCAGCAATCCCAGCTGTGCGGGAGCAGGGACGTGACTCCCCTTCCCAGGCGGATGCAGGGATGCGGCTCCTGCTCGTGCTGTGCTGCTCCCTGGGACGTGTGCTCCATCCAGCTTTGCTTGCCCGTGCCGGGCGTGGAGCAGCATGGTGCCCCTGCACACCTCACCCCGCACCCAGCGAGGACTGGGACCTCTCTCCCCTTCCAGTGCCTGGCCACTACCTTCCTCTGGCGCTTCAGCAGCACTGCCCATGTGCTCACAGGGCTCAGTGCACCCAGATAAGCTTTAAAGGTAGCCTGGGAGGTGGAAAGCAGCCAGGGCATCGCCTGCATGTTTCCTTTAACCCTTTGCTGTGCGTCCTACCCGCTCCCATGGGAAGTGTGTGGTGGGGATGATGCTCTCCCTCTGCCCCTGCAGCCCATCAGCATGGGATCGCAGTCCTGGAGAAGGAGCTGGCCCAGCTGAAGCTGCCGGACATCTCGGGTGACTTCCGCGTCTGGCACGTGGGGAAGGTGCAGTACGAGGTCTCCAGGTGAGTTCTGCCAGTGCGTGGAGCAGCAAACGGCACCCCAGCCTCTGTGAGGGGCAGGAGGGAGGAAGAGGATGGGGAACCTCGCAGCTATGAGGAGCATCCTGTCCCCTCCACAGCTCTCTGAGGTGCTGGCCCTGTCCTCTGGGCAGGCAGTGACTCTCCTGCTTCACCCCTTGTGCAAGGGGGAAAGGGGAATGAGGATGAAGGGTGGATTTTGAAGCCCGGTGGGTGGAGGTGGCTTTGCCCATGGGAGCAGGAGTTTGGTCCCTGCGGAGATCCAAGCCCTTCACTGCCCCATTGCACCCCTCAGCTCCTGTTTTGAGCTGGTTTGGGTGGCTGCAGGGACCATGTTTCTAAGGGCACCATCACGCTGTGCTGTGCACCCCTGCCAGGCATCGCTGTGCTGGCAGGATGGGAGCTGGGATGCTGCCGTGTGCCCGGGCATGAGCCCCGCTCTGACGTGACTTGTGCCTGTCGCTGGTTTCTGTTTAGGCTGTCCCTGCGTGGCTTCCACCTGCCCTACTCACGGGTCTCGCTGGTCCCCGGCGTGGGCCTCCAGGTCTCCATCTCCAATGCCTTCGCCGAGCTGGACGGGAACTGGCGGGTGAAGATGCACTTCATGTGCGTGCCTGGCTCCTCCGCTCCCTGCCCTGCCTCTGGACAGGTTCCTTCTCCTCTCCTTTCTCCTGCTGTTTTGGCAGCTCTGGCTTTGCTCTCTCCAGAGTCTGTCCTGCAGCCGCTGTGTTCCTGACAGGAGCCAGGCCCCTCCAATGGCAGGAGCCCCCAGAGCTGCCCGCAGTGGTTATCCTGCTTGCCAAGTGCCTGGGGAGACAACGTGAAGCCATCTCCCCTCTTGTGGCACCTGGGGTGTGAGGGACGGTCCCTCCTACCTGCCTGCACCGGGGGCACCTTCCTGAGCGCCTGCAGGGACAGGGGGTGGGGAAAGGTTGCTGCCACTTGGCCAGGCACAGGCATGGAGAACCGTCCCTTTCTCGTCCTGTCCCTGCAGCCGGGACCACGGCTCCTTTGACCTGAGGGTGGAGAACGTCTACATCAAAATCCACCTGAGGCTGGGCAGTGAGGCCTCCGGGAAGCCCACCATCGACACCTCCGCCTGCAGCACCCGCATCTCCAGCATCCGCGTGCACTTCTCGGGCAAGTTTGGGTACGTGACCGCTGCGGGAACGTGGCTGCCGGGCCCTGGTGTCAGGAGCAGGATGCTGGAATAGCTGCGTGCCTTGGGGGCTGCCCTGCAGGCTGCCCGCACCAGCCCGCTCTGGCCTCTTGCACTGTCCTCATCCAAGCGTGCAGCTGCACGAGCTGAAAACCGGCCTGAATTTACCCTGCATGTTTAGGGGGGATTTAAGGCAGTCACTGGACGTGTGTGCAGGGGGTTGCAAGCAAGTGTGTTTGCAAATATAAACCCTGAGGCAAAGCCAGATGCCAGCTTGCTGTGGGAATGATGCTTCCCAGTGTCCTGCATCATTAGTGTTCCTGTTTCCCGGGCAAGTACTGCAGCAGCCTCTGAGCTGCATAAAGCAGGACTCCTCTCTGCTTTTCTCTGCAGGTGGCTTTACAACCTGTTCCATAAAGCTATTGAGTCCAGGTTCCGGAAGATCCTGGAAAGCAAGGTAGGTGAGGGAAGGAGGGCAGAGCTCCGGGTTTTCAGGTCGTCTTTAGCCTCTGCTTGTAGCTGATGAGGGACCAGAGCACATGCAGGGATGTGACTGGAGCCAGAGTCCACAGGCATGCTACCCATCTGGTGAGAACCAGAGGAATGGGCACTGCTAACGTCATCCCTGGCAGTGTCCAAGGCCAGGTTGGACAGGGCCTTGGGCAATACGGTTGTGAGGCGTCCCTGCCCGTGGCAGGGGGTTGGAACTGGGTGATCTTAAGGTTCTTTCCAACCCAAAGCCTGCTATGATTGTAACTGCAGCCCCCGCAGCATCGTGTGCCTGGGGCTGGATCCAAAACCTGCAGCTGCTGCCAAAGCCGGAGTAATTGGCTCCTAATGAACAAAGACTTTCCTTTCCATGTGGTCAGTTAATTGGATCTTATGCCTTGGCCAAGCCCGGTGCAGCAGAGGAAACCTGGTCAGAGCTGTCCTTTAAACGCCTGCGCTCTGCTTTGGGGAGCACGGGGGGGGGATCTCTCATTCTGGACTTGGCACTTCCCATCTTGTTTTAGTGGGGAGGCCCCAGAACCAGTGCAGGAACCTACATGCAGGAGTCCTGCAGCAAGACAAGGCCCAAGCTGTTAGCTGTAATTACTACAAGGCCGACTGGCAGAGTTACAGCCTCCCTGGATGCGACCCTTGCTCAGGAAGGAAGCAGTTGGAGAGCAGGCAAATCCCACTCCCACAACAGACCCCATCCTGCCCGGGCGCTATTCCCAATGCCATGCATTGGCATTCCCAAGGCCTCTGGGAGCTGTAGCAGCAGATGGGCTGGCAAAAGGAGCCAAGCCAGAGCTTGAAGGCCCTTTCTGCTGTTTTGCCTCATGGAAGGAGGGCTTCGGGTCTCCAAAGGAGCTCTGTGCTCCCAGGCAGCAATGGGTGTTTCCAGCACAGACAGAGGAATATCGTCTGGGCACTGGGCAGAGCAGCAATATGTCAGTAATGCCATGCTCAGGGCTCTGTCCCTCCTCTTCCTCCCCGGTGCTGCACAACCAGTGGCTGCACTGCTGTCAGTGGGGTCACTGCTCCTCTGGAGCTCCGCATCCCTCTGCTGCTGCAGGCTGGATGCCCGGTGAGGCAGACGATGGCTGTTTGTGCCGTTATGTGGAAGCGCTGGAAGAGACCTTGTGCAGATTATCTCCTGCAGTGAATTTCCTGGGCTAGTGTTTAGCCCGCAGTTAAATCCTGCTGCAACGCCAAGGCTTCAGCCATGGATGAGAGCAGCAGAGGGATCTGCTCTCTGTCCTGGCTGTAGGAGCTCAGGGCAGCTCTGCTTTGTCAGTGCTATCAGTGCCCCTGCGGGGGATCAGCTCTTTGGCTGCTCAGCACAGCCCATTCCAGCATGGGCCATAGGAAGAGTGTGAGGGCACGAGGGAGCTTCCTTTTGAGGGCCCCATGGAGCTGGGCTGTGCGTGGGGAGCTTGCTGCAAGCAGCTGTTTGCAGGCACAAACCCTGCCTGCGTCATGGCCGCTGCGTTAAGGTGCTGCCTGCTGAACAGAGACAACCACCTCCGAGTGCCCTTTATTTAATGAGCTCTTGCAAGGATGAAGCCAGCCCTGGGCTGCGGCTCTGCCTGGGCACAGCCTGGGCTGCGCTCCCTGCCCCTGCCCAGCTTCGCCCTCTCCCTCCCGCAGGTCTGTGAGAGCGTGGCCAAGTCTGTGCGCAGCGAGCTCCAGCCTTACGCCCAGACCCTGCCAGGTACCGGGGCTGCACGGGGCTCGGGGGGCGGCTCACGGCATGCCCCGGCCATGGGGACTGTGCTTTACCTGCGTCACTGGTGGGGACGCAGCTGCCGTACCCGGGGCACCCAGAGCATCCCTCGGTGCAGCAGCGGCTCAGAAACTGCCAGGAGGGAAACGGGAGGTTTTGCTTCTGAATAGAAGCAAGCACACATGAAGCTGTTGTTTTACAGTCACAGCCCAGCTTGATGCCGTGGCTGGGATCGATTACTCCTTGGTGGCACCCCCAACTGCTACTGCGCAGTCCCTGGACGTGGACCTGAAGGTGAGAGGCTGCCCTGGGAGAGCCAATGCCTTCCCACAGGCGGTGGGGACCAGGTTTAGGCACCTGCTGCAGGTGCTCTTTGCCAGCGCCAGTCCCACCACCCCCTGCTCTCTGCTTCACCAGGGTGAATTCTTCTCCCTGGCTCACCGCTCCGCCGTCCCCTTCCCTCCGCTGCCGCTGGCCTTGCCCCCGGACCACGACCGCATGGTTTACTTTGGAGCCTCCAGCTACTTCTTCAACACAGCCAGCTTCGCCTACCACGCAGCCGGGGCGCTGGTCTTTGAGATCACCAACTCCGTGGTGAGCAGCGCAGGGGGACGGGGCTGGCCCTGCCGGGGCCATGGGCGCTGAGCTCGCCATGGGCTCGGCTGTGCCGCATTGCCCTGGCGTGACTGTTCTCCTGGCACAGATCCCAAAGGGCGTTGAGTTCCACTTGAACACCTCCACCTTCTCAGCCTTCATTCCCCAGGTGAGTGCCCGGCCCTGCCTCCCCGCAGCTCCTGTGTTTTGCTCCATGCAAAGTGCTCTCCCCCAGGGATGGGGCTTTGAGCTGCTGTCCCTGCCCTCTCCCTGCCCCTCTGCAGCTGGAGGAGATGTACCCACACATGGAAATGAAGGTCAGGCTGTCCGCCCCTTCCGCCCCATTCCTGACCATCGGACCGGATGGGCTCTCCCTCAAGCCTGTTGTGGATATCCAGGCTTACACCATCCTTCCCAACTCCACCCTGGCTCCCCTCTTCCTCCTCAGCCTGGTGAGTTGTGACTGCGGCCCTGCTGGGGCAGCTCAGGGTGCATCCACAGCTTTAGGTGCTGCTGTGTGCCCATGAGCCCTGCCCTGCATCTCAGTGGGACAAAGATTTGGGCTGTGCAGCATCCCCCGGCTGCGCTCAGCAGCGCTGAGCCACTGCTGCGAGCTCCTGCTGGGGAGGTGCCGGGGGCTGCCTGGCACCAGCCCGGTCCTGGTGTAGTGGGGATGTCCCCAGCAGAAGACACCCGAGCTGGCACAAGCCAGGCTTAATGCTGTGGGAAAGGCACCCTGGATGGGCAGCGTCCTGCTGCCTTTTGGCTGCTCAGAGCCATGGCTGGGTGCCTGGTGCGGGGGGAGCACTGCCAGAGCTCTGCTCTCTCCCAGACAGGCAACGTGTCCGCTGTCATCGACGTGAAATCTGGCCACATCGTTGGGAGCCTGAAGGTGGGCAGGTACGGAGGGGGAGCAGCCGGGGGGGCTGGGGGTGCCTCTGGGCTCTGGGGACAGAGGTGAGGTGGGGAGATCCCAGAATGTGGACCTGGTGTGGAGGGGATGGGTTGGGGCTGGAGGGAGCAGGATCCATGTGCAATGAATGGGTGGGAAGTGCCCCCTCCACTGGGACACTGCCACAGCACCACTGCTGTCCCTGTGCAGGTTGAAGCTCTCTCTGAAGCATTCGGATGTGGGCACTTTCCAGGTAAACCATCCCTGACCATGAGCAGAGCCGCAGCATGGAGGCGAGAGCCTGCTGGGGGGCAAGGAGAGGGCTCATTCCCCTCTGCCCCCCAACACTAGGAGCTGGGGTGCACCCAGGGTGCAGAGCCAGATGCTGTTGCCTCCCTCACCCCTACACTTCCTACCCTGCCAGCATGGCCAAATCTCCTGGTCTCTGGCAAAGCATGTGCCCACTGCAGCTCCTCATCTCCTTTCCTTTCTCTGATTACCCTCCTGTGCCATCTCCTGCTCTCCCACAGCCTAAAGCTCTTCTCCTTCCCCTCTTCCCGCTCCCCAGGTACGAATGCTGCAGTCCATCATGAACGTCCTGGCTTCCAGCATCCTGCTCCCACGTCTTAACGGTGAGAACCTGCTGCGGGGCTGGGGTGCTGCAGCCAGGCACGTTGCTCCATCCAAGCAGGTCCAGCTCCTCAGTTAAATCCCCATTGCCAAGCCTGATCCATGGGTGAAGCCCACAAGTGCCTGCGGGCAGAGGGGTCGCGAGCCTCTTGGTGCTGTGATGTGCACCCAGCAGTGAATGCAATGGAGGACATGAGCAGGATGCACATCCTAATGCCTTCCAGCCCCTCTGCCCCGCTCGCTGCTTCTCGTGACTCCCCAGCAACTCAGGCCAGAGCCGGGCTGGGGCTCAGGCACAGCAGTGGCCCAATGTCCCCCAGCCGGGACGTGGAGCTTGGGAGGAATTTCCTCTGCCTGCCCTGGGCACATGGGTGAAGGAAGGGTTAGGGGGAGGCAGGTGCCCGCTTTGCACAGCCCCTGCTCCCTCTTGCTCCCATTGCCATCCCAGCATGGCCGCGTGTGTTGTGTTTTGCAGAGAGGTTAGCGCAGGGCTTCCCTCTGCCGCTGCCAGACAGGATACAGCTCTCCAACATCCTCGTGGGGTTTCACCAGGTGAGTGAGGGGAGCACTCGGGGTGCAGAACCGCCCCCCCCCCATGGTGGGCAGCAGGAACCATGCATCATTCTCCTGTTCTTAAACCCAGGGTCTGCGTTGCCCATTACACTTAGAGCACACAGCCCCGTGCAGCTGGGGTGCTGCGTGTGAGCACCCACTGCACACATCTGCCTGCGGTGGGTCAGGCAGCGCCTGCCAGACGTGGTGGAAGGAGCCCTGCCGGGTCCTGGGGCAAAGCCCCTGTTGTGGGGGCCCTGGGGGAGCCCCAGGGCGGTGCCACGATGGGGGTGCTGAGTGGCCCTATTGCAAGGCATGGCTGTGAAACGTCTCCAGCGCCCTTCCAGGGCTAGAATTAAGCTGCGGGCTATCAGAACCACGCTCCCTGCCGCGATGGGGGTGTGCTGGGGAACACAGGTGCCAGGGCCTGTCACAGCCTCGTGGTTTTATTCTTTCCCTCCCAGAATTTCCTGCTGCTCGGAGCAGACGTCCAGTACCAGCCCCGGGGACGGAGATAGAGCCGCAAGAAGGACCTCGAGCACCAGCCCTGTTCCCTTCACCCCTTCCCTCCTCCCGCGCTCTGCTGCTGGCGCTGAAGACATCAGCTCATGTCCTGGACCGGGCAGCACACCCGGGCCCGAATCCCGATCCCCTCGCCGGGTCCCCGGTCCCATCCCGCCCCCGGTCCCCCCCGGGCGGCAATAAAGGCGGCTGTGCCGGAGCGGTGTCTGTCGGAGCTCGTACCGGCTGTTTGCAGCCCCGCGGCCATGGTGAAGCCCTAAAGCACCGTCATTAACAACGTCATTAACAAACACCGTTATTAACAACGCTATTAACACACACCGTCATTAACAACGATATTAACAGCGATATTAACACACACCGTCATTAACAACGATATTAACAGCGATATTAACACACACCGTCATTAACACCGTCATTAACAACGATATTAACAGCGATATTAACACACACCGTCATTAACACCGTCATTAACAACGATATTAACAGCGATATTAACACCGTCATTAACAGCGATATTAACACACACCGTCATTAACAACGATATTAACAACCATACTAACATACACCACCATTAACACCGTTATTAACAACGATATTAACACACACCGTCATTAACACCGTTAACAACAAATACCGTTATTAACACCCTTATTAACGAGCACCGTTATTAACAACGGTATTAACACACACCTTTATTAACAAACATCGTTATTAACACACCGTCATTAACACCGTTATTAACAAACACCGTTATTAACAAACACCGTTATTAACAAACACCGTCATTAACAAACACCGTTATTAACAACGGTATTTTCACTGTTACTTCACGTTTCCGCGGCGGGGCGGAACCGCAGCAGCGCGGAACGCAGCGCCGGGGCCAGGGATGGGGGTGGGACCGCTTATGGCGGGGCCGCGACCGGTCCGTCCCGCTAAAGGCTCCGCCGCGCCCGGCGCGCCATGCTGTTCTGGGGCCGGGCCGCGGGGCTCCTCCGCTCGGCCGGGGCCGCTGCCCGGCGCGGGGCTGCCCGGCGGGAGCGCTGCGGGCCGGGACAGCGGCGCGGGGCCACGCTGCCCTCGGGGCCGGACCTGCGGCACTTCCTGAGGGGAGCCGCCAAGGGGGAGCGGCCGCCGGAGCCGCCGCTGGAGCCGGGCCCTGCACCCGGCAGCGGGAGAGGTCCGTGGGGCTGCGGTGCCGCCGCTCCCCCGCTGCGGGGCCGTGGCCGTTTGCGCTGCCCGCCGCTGGGGCTGCGGTGGGGCCCGGGGCGCGGAGTCCGTGTGCGGGGGAGCGGGGCCCTGGAGGGGTTGGACGAGCCCGGCTCGTTGGCGGCTCCCCGCTGTGAAGCTGCGCTGGGGACCCGGCTGCTCCGGCACCTCTGTGCGGGGCTGGGCAGCGCCTCCGGCTGTGACGCTTCGGGAAGGGCTGCTCGTGCCTTCATGTGCTGTCCCAGCAGTGAGGCAGCCCCCGCTGCTCTGCAGACTGCAGCCCGGAGCTGGCCTGTGGCAGTGCCGTGCTCTGAGGCACTCGCGTTTCCCAGGCTCATCTTTGTGCCTGGTTTACCCTTGCGGTGCGGGCTGCAGGCGAAGGTGGTGCCGCCCGGTGGTGGGGCTGCAGGTGCCTTCCTCTAGGGAAGGTGGCGGGAACAGGCTCCTGCATCCCAGCGCCTGTGTTGCAGTGTACCTGGAGACGTACGGCTGCCAGATGAACGTCAATGACACCGAGATCGCCTGGGCCATCCTGCAGAAGAGCGGTTACACCCGGACAAAGCAGCTGGATGAGGTGAGGCCCGTTGGCAGCGCGCTGCTGCCATGCCTGCGAGTCCCAGCCCTTGTCTGGAGCAGAGCCCTGGGGAGTGCTGGGATCTTTGTAGCTGAAGTTCTTTGGAGAGAAGGAAGCGTCTAATAAGTGTGCTGGAAAGCTGTGGGCTGGCTTTTTCCTTTCAACTGCTGGGCTCGCTCTGTTGGAGAGCGATTGGGCACAGTGGGATGCTCCTGACTCGTCTTTGAGTCAGCTTCTCTCATGTAGTGGAATACTCTGCTGGTCTCCTGGTAGTTTCTTGCACCTTTTTTGTTGAAACCACCACACACTTGGGCAGATCCTTTCCACTGCTTTAAGTGATTTTTCTCATCTGCCCCCTCGGGTTACCCTGCAGGGGGTAGCAGCGCCTGGCTGTTACAGATTCTTCTCCCTCTTTTGTCCTTCAATCCAGGCAGACGTGATTCTCCTGGTCACCTGCTCCATCAGGTAAGGAAGCTTCTGTCACTGCTGCTTTGGGACAGTGTTTGAGGAGCTGCCATTTCAAAACCAAGTTAATGAATGTGTTGTGCGAGAGGAGGAGGATGCAGATGGGAAACTACCTGGGTAGCTGAGGGATGCTGGGATGTGTAACGTGAACTGTGCCATGAATTACTTTCCTGTGTAGTGGGAAGAAGTTCTTCAGTGTTGTGAGCCCTGTGAACAGGCTGGGGGCAGGTGCAGACCTGCACAGTTTGGTGCCTTGATGATGCTGATCATTATTTTTAAATGCTGTTCTGTCTTCTCTGCAAGTGACCGCCTCTGGCACTGGGTCCCCCCTCAGAAACAGGGGAACCATTTAGGGGCAATTCGGGGTATGAATTCTAGGGAGCTTTGCTTGTCTTTTCTGAATGCAGACGATGCAGCCTGGCTCGCTGTCGCCTGCAGCGTGCTCGCTGTCGCCTGCAGCGTGCTCGCTGTCGCCTGCAGCCTGGCTCGTGTCGCCTGCCTCAGCCAGGCTTTTTCTCCACAAGAGCTTAGTCCCTGAGCTGTTTCTGCAGCGCAGGTGCTGCCGAGTGAGACAAACCATGGTAGATAAGAGTCGAGACATAGTGCACACAGCACAGACGCTTCCATGTGGTGGATGGTTCCCTGGCTTGAGCTCAGTTCTCTCAAAGCACTGGGGCTGCTTCAGGCCGGGGGGCTGTTGGAGTAACGGCTGTTTTCCTGGCTCCAGGGAGAAGGCAGAGCAGGCCATCTGGAACCGCCTGCGGCACCTCAGCGCGCTGAAGGCCTGGCGGCAGCAGCAGGCTGGCTCCCCCCTGCGCATCGGGATCCTGGGTACCTGTGCAGCAGTGGGCAGCACACGCTGTGTGCCCTGGCCCCTCGTGGTGCCACTGCCCCTTGTGCTGTGTTTCCTCCTCCCCTCTGGCCGCACCAAGCCTTTGCTGCGGGGTGGAAATAGCCAGCAAGGGGGTGCAGGAGTGTGATGGAGGGTGGGCACTTCCTCACGAGGACCTTTCTCCTTTGATGGCAGGATGCATGGCTGAGAGGCTAAAGGAGGAGATTCTGCACAGAGAGAAGCTGGTGGACATTGTGGCAGGCCCTGATGCATACCGTGACCTCCCCCGGCTGCTGGCCGTGGCAGAGTCTGGCCAACAAGCTGCCAATGTCCTGCTGTCACTAGATGAGACCTATGCAGACATTCTGCCTGTCCAGACTAGTGCAGGTGGCACGACAGCGTTTGTGTAAGTACCTCTTTTTCCTGTGCATGTTTCTGTGGCTCTGGTTTGGAAATGCTGCTGTGCAGAACAGACACGTCAGTGGCAGCAGCTACCCAGGAGATGTAATGCCTGGCTGCACTTGCTCCCAGCAGCCCAGAAGCATGAGCCTACCAGAGTGAGTGTTTGCTGCTGCTTCACTGTGTGACTGAGCCCTGGAGAGGCTGCCTGTGCTCTGCCTGGCTGTGGGCTGCTCATGCTCTCCTTGGAGAGTGCTGGTTGTCTAAGCCTGGCACTGCACTGAGTGATTCCTGTCCCACTGCTGTCTGTACCTTTCTGAAGCCTGCGCCTCTCCTCCTCCCTTCTGCCACGTCCTGTCACACATTCTCCTATTTAATTCTTCTAACCCTCCATGAGCTGTAACTTGTTGGCTTCATTTCCATTTGTTTAGTTTTGATAATAAGACTCCTAAACTTGTGATGAGATTCTACTGTGTGGCCAAAGAGACAGGGACGGTATCACCCTCTGTAGGCACAGGATGCAGAAGGATCTCTCATCCCTGCCAGGCTGTGGTGCAAGTCTGTGCTTCAGCAATTTCCAAGTTTCTTGGAAACATGCATGAAGAATGAGGAGGTGTTGGCTGGGGGTGAGCAGAAGCCAGAGCTGGCTGGAGCAGCATGTGAGAGCTGTGTTCAGAGCTGGGGCTGCGTGTGCTGCACGCTGAGGGCATCGGTAAAGGCAGTGGTTGATGAAGCAGGAGTGGATGCACTGGGGATGACTCTTCCAGAGCGATGGTGGAATGACCTGTGCTTGCTCTTGGCAGATCGATCATGCGGGGCTGTGACAACATGTGCAGTTACTGCATCGTGCCCTTCACCCGTGGCCGGGAAAGGAGCCGCCCCATTGCGTCCATCCTGCAGGAAGTGAGGATGCTCTCGGATCAGGTGCGGCAGAGCCTCCCCCCTCCTGTCCCAAGCCATGCGAGGAGGGCTGGTTCTCAGTGCAGGTGTTTCCAGTGGTACCTTTGAATGCACCGCCTTTACCTGCAGAGATGAGGTTACCATAGGGCTCCACCAGTGGCTTTTTGATTCCCCTTGTAATGCTCTGAGCCAGGCAGGGAAGGGAGGGCTTCCTTTGGAGGCTGCTCCTGGAAGTAAGAATAGAGCCGTGGCTGCCTGCATCCTGATGGGGTTATGGTGGTTTCTCTCCGTTTGTTGTTGTAGGGGGTGAAAGAAGTGACCCTCCTGGGTCAGAACGTCAACAGCTTCCGAGACATGTCTGAGGTGCAGTTTCAGTCGGCGGCAGCCCCAGGCCTCAGCCGTGGCTTTAGCACAGTCTACAGAGCCAAGCCAGGCGGTTTGCGCTTCGCACATCTCCTGGACCAGGTGTCCAGGATTGATCCAGAAATGAGGATCCGTTTCACCTCCCCACACCCCAAGGACTTCCCTGATGAGGCAAGTGTGAAATGAACACCTGGACTGCCGTGGGCAGGCTCTGAGCCGCTACGTGCGGGCTGTGCTTCCTTCCCAAAGGGAATGCTGAACCCCAGAACGGGAACAGCAGCTCCTGGGAGGGGGAATGTCTGTGCTAAAGCTGTCAGGCTTGCAGTTTGCTGGCTTTACCCATTGGCATCCTGGTAGA